CAAGTGCGAAAAGACACGAGTATATGTTTATATAGAACTTCTTTCTAATATCTCCCCCAGGCGTCTAAGGTAGGCTCCCACTACATTACCTTACTGATGAGTCTAGTAGTGTGAAGCCGGGACGAAACGCCAAACTTGTGATATTCTTTGCAATCTTAGTTTTTCGCAGATTTCGAATCATTAGCACTTTAAAATTTTAATATTTATTAAAGATCCAATAAGATGCTATAAGCATCATAAATTGTTAGATTGTTTGTCAATTTAACTTTGTGATATTGCTACGGTAGTTGTTTAGAGTTGCGTTGTAAGTCTGAAGAATTTTCGGCACGCGATTGGAGGACTACATACGTGGTAAATAAAAATTCACACATTAATTTAGCAACCAAAATCCTGCTTGACCGTCATTTGGCCGATAATATTTCCTTCTTAATATGTATTTTTATATTGAGTTTTTATATATATTTTATACTTATACTTTAATTCATATATATGTAAACGAAAAAAGTTAAAAAGACGTTGTAAGAGTCAAAAGAAATAATTTAAAACAACAATTAAAGAAAGAAAAACGTATATATGTAATAAAATAATTTCAACAGAAAAAATTTTTATCTTCGAAGCTGTACATTAAAAATTAACAATATAAAAATACTTGTTTAAAATTCGAAGATGTACATTAAAAAATAACAATATTCAAAAACCTGCTTAACGTTTCGACTCGTGGATTGAGTCTTTTTCAAAAGCGCAAACATATTCTTAAAGTTAAAATTCTTCGAATTAATTCTGCGAATCCATCTTCATCAAATCCAACTATTGTTCCTCTAGCGATTAGTAGATCGTAAGAAAAAAGTCAGCTATAAAAATTATGTAGATATGACAAGCTTTAGAATCAAAAAAATATTAAAACCATCAAGAAAATTGTACGTTAACAAAAATTGTAACAATATCAAACCTTTGGAGATGGGCAACATTATTCAAAGATCTCTAGATCAGTCAGTACACTACGCAATCTATTCGTCAATGTGTAATTTTTAAACGTCAAAATTATAAAATTGATATACATTATTCCGCAATTAATAAGTATGTGACGCCACTATGAATGTTCGAAGATAACTGATACAGAATACAACATGACAATGTCAGACTTTGTTTATAATCGAAGAATATGCTTCGTGGAGATCTATCGTGTCAGATTGTAAGTTAAGACTGTTATTCTGTCTTTTAATATTCAACATCTCAGATACTAAACGCTTTTTATAACACGGTTCTTCATCAAGAATTTCCACTTCATCCCAAAGAAATTCATGATCATGTTGCACTCTATGATCAGTAATAACCGAACGTGTAGATGTGTTATGTCTAATATGATTCCGATGCTCTGCGATTCTGGTTTTTAACTGTCTACCAGTCTGACCGACATAAGACGCATCACAATCTGCACATGATATCTTATATACAACATTATTCTTCGTGTTTTTCTGTCGTATGTCTTTCTGTACTTTTATGTATTTGCTCATCTTGTTGGGACTGTGATAGGAAACCCTGATATCATTACCATTGAATCTCTTAAATTTATCTGTATGAAACGGAATGAATGGTACCGTAAGCCAGGAAGTAGAAACTTCACTGTTTTGTATTTCGTTAGAATTTTTATGTGTGTGATGTTTTATTTTTTGTAATTGCTTAATACGTTGTCTGATATTATCAAAAATAAACGATAAAGGGTAATCATTCTCTAAAAGAATGTTGATTATCAAAGTTAAATTATTAGTATGAAAACTAAAGTCTGATAATATGTATACTCTATCTACTAACGAAAAAACCACACCTTTCTTTTGAGATATGGGATGGTTAGAGTGAAAATTGAGAAATCTACCTGAAAATGTAGGCTTACGGTACCAATCGAAAATAAGTTTACTGTTGTATTTAATCATCGTAATATCTAAAAAATTCAGTTTATCTCCACTAATTTCCACAGTAAATTGTAGACGAGGGTGAAAATTATTGAAAATTTGTACTAAATAACTGACGAGGAAACTGCCATACAGATGTCATCAACATATCTGTAGTAAAACAAAACATTTTTATCAAAGAGTCTCAATGATATAGATTCAAGCCTTCTCATCACCAGGTCAGCGATAATCGGAGAAAGAGGAGAGCCCATGGGTGTGCCAAAACATTGTTTATAAATACTATTGTCAAACAAAAAATATGTTGAATCTAAAATAAGTTTGATTGCCTCAAGAAACTCATCCCTAGGTAATGGACATCCACGTGAGATAAAATTCCACTGTTCAGCAACGCAATCCAAAGCAAGATCCAAGGGTACGTTGGTGAACAATGAGATAACATCCAAAGAAATCAATTGGCAAGCATCGTTGACCTCCACATTCCTCAATTTCTCAATCAATTCAAAACTATTTTTTACGCATTTTTTTTAAATGCGTGCGCGGAGTCACGAAGAAATCTCCCGCATCCTCCTCCTCCTCCTCATCCTTCTTCTCCTTGCGTTTAGAGGTAGCGTCAGGCGACTCTGTCTTTATCGCGCGCACGATGGGACTACTGTCTGCGATCTGTCGCAACGGTTCAACGATAGGCTTGAAACGCCTGTCCAGCGCAATGTCCTCGTCGATTCTACCGGTCTTCAGAGCGCGATGTTTCTTGCGGATCGACTCGCTCGTCCTCTCGATCTCCCTCACGATTTTTTCACGCTCTCGAGACATGTTAGTCGAAGTACGGACGATGACTGGCAGCGTTACGGTATCGCGAACTCGTTAAATCCTCTTCTGTATCTCCCCTTTGTAAGCGCACTGTCCTTGTCTATTACTACGAATCCATATTTTTGTTGCCAACATTTGTGACACAACGCGCAAAATTCGTCGTACGACATGTCGGTATTCACATGATCGTTGTAAACGTGTTTCAAGTTGGTACCATCCTGCTTGAACAGGATTAGCAGATTCGCGTTGTCGCGTATCAGATGTTTAGGTATCCTCGCGTACGTCTGACAGAGATAGAAGCAGTCGACGTTCGCGTGGCGACCCATCGAAAAGTACTCTCGCACCGCGTTCTGTTTGTCACATGCAACGTCGTCGAAGATAAAGATAGAATTCGGTAGCGCCTCGTTCGGTGGAACGACATCGCTTGTTGTTGGAGAACGTAAAGTAGCCGATTTCGTCGATGGACGTCAACAAATTTTCGAGATATCGTTACTTTGGCTGTTGCAGCGATTTCGAGTAGACGTACACGTTTTCGAAACGTACGCCGTTGGGGCTCTCGAGCAAGCTTATCCAGCACGTTCGTCTTGCCGCAGTTTGACGGACCGCAGACGATTGCGCATATAGTATTCGGCAGCATTTGACCGTGCTTGCGCTTATTTGCGTCGTCCCGCATCGTTTGCAATTTCACGTCACAATTCATGACGCGTATCGTCAGTGGAGACTGCACAAATTTCATACTCGCACTGTAAACTATCCGCAGTCTCCGACGCCTATTTATAGGCGCGCGAATCCGCGAATCGGGCAGTAGCAAAATGTATTTCGCGCTGCATCATCGTTCTTCCGACATTCGA